CATCAAGTTGATTCCAACTTATGGTGACTCCAGGGTTTACTGCAGACAGAGTACTCAGAAGTATTTTTTTCTTGGGTGCCCTACTTGCCCAAGGCTACGCAGGCTGACTTTACTCCCAAGAGGTACACTGAGGAATCGAACTCTCAATTCCTGGCTCCTCAACCAGATGCTCCATATCACTATGAAGCAATTAAAGGAGCCAAACTGATAGGAAAGGATCGATAGAAAATCAAGCTGGTCAAAATGCTTGTCCCCTTTAATTTTAACCTAATGTATACATTCACATGGCATCTGGCATTGCTGACAAAGAATGACAGTTACAACCGGCCAAGCTCAGACAATGCAGGTGCTCCAGAACTGAACTAAAGCAATTCACTTCCCCAGGCAAACTAAAGAACATGTAAAGCATTCCTGGCATTGCTGAAGATCAGGACAAACAAGATGACTGCATAGGTAAACTATTAGCAGTGATCTAATCGCTGGTAATCGTAATAAAAATACTAGTGTGATATTATAATCTGTTTGTTGCCTCCCAGAAGCTTCTGCCTCATCTCTGTTGGACTAGACAGATATTTGGCCAGATCCTACTGGATTTTATGGTTGCCTAGTCTAGTGGAATCTTCTATGCTTCTTGAAATCAAACTGAGATAAAACAAAGAGAAATATAAATCCATATAAATAGAGCCTGTAAACCTGCATTTGAAAGGTTAACTTGTAATAAAGCCCTCCCTGAAAGCCAATCATTACTGTGACATGATTTTGATGGTAAGGCATTATGTTATCTCTAATTATCCTTGTTTTTTCCATTGCATTTTTTAAAACACAAGTTTCTACAAAAGCAAAATGGCGGGATCCTGCAGTAATCTGTTGTATGGTAACCAGTAGGAATAGTCCTGGCAAATTGCATAGTCCATGCAATTGAGGTGAGTGCAGGGCTGGCCTGCATTAGGCAGAACAAGGTGGCTTGTAGATTATATCGGGCAAGAAGTTATTAGAACTGTATGTTTACCAGATCGTCTGTTCTGAGCTAGAATATGGCCTTCGGGTGGGATAAAAACAGTCAGGAAGGAAAATCCAACTGCCATTTTGTTTGGTTCATGAAAAAAGAATGTACCAGGCAGCATTTTGTTCTTTTGCCTCAGGTGGCAAAATGTCCTGAGCTGGCCAAGGACAGAGCGAACGAATGTACAATTTCTATGTATGTACATACAAGTATGGATGTACTTGTATGTACAGACAAAGGAGCAGCAGAGAAGGGCTACTTGTACAGCATTCATCCCTTAAGGCTGTGGATAAATACACTGTAGAGTAGGGTTGCCAAGTCTGAGGGAACTGCTGTATGTCTCCAGGCTGGAAGACAAATCTTAGGATAAGTGGCAGGAGTGGCAGAAAAATACCTGATTTTATTGAGTGTGGACACACTGGCAAAGGTGTTTCTCCATATGTCCCATACATAATATTTGTTTAGGCCACATTCCAGACATTCACATTGTGTGTTTTATGTTCTCCCTTACATATTGTTCTGCTATAAGGAATCTGAACCCAGTCCTTTCCAATCAAGGGCTGAATGATTTCTGAGGCCTTAAACCTGCCTTTCCTCATGCTTGCTGTAAAGATTAGTGTTCACTGAGCACTTAAATGATATATGAGTAATAACTGCTACTAATATTCACACTTTGGACATAAGAGCATGCCTAGGCCTGAGCTGACCCGATGTAAAATAATCTGGTTTTCTGCTGCATGGGGTTTTTTTTACTAAAGGATGATCCAGCACAGGAGATGGTTTTCTCTGATCAACTGGAGTCAAATCTGACTTGCTTCCTAAGAAGTACATTTCAGATGGAAAGTTAACAGGTGACAGTCATCTGATTGTGCCATTGATTCTCACACAGGACTGCAAAGACCCTCCAGGACCCCCCCACTTGCAGGTGCACGTTCTAGAGTAACTGAACTTTAAGGTCAGGAAGGGTGAGCAGCCCAGGTAAGGGAGAAGAGCAACTCGGAAGCAACCACTTGCCTGCCATGATCTCTCTCTCTCTTTTCAGCACACAAAGTTGATGCAGGTGATTAAATGCTTCTGGTCTATTTCCTCCTTGGTTCAAAAAAACCCTTGAGAAATCTCTCTGCTTGCCAAAAAGGGTTTTCCCTGCCTCTCATCAACAACCTCTCATCTTTCTCTCACACACATACATGTCACTCACTTTGTAAAATTTCAGGAAAGGGAACTTCATGGCAGCAGAGAAAGCAGCCCTTAAACACACAGACAGACACACGCCCTTTTCTCCTCAGGGTGATGATTTGTCTTGAGACAATCATTTCCAGCACACACCTCCTTTTCCCAGCATCATTATCTCTTCTCTCCCTCTCACACACCCTTTCCCCCCAGCAGTTTCTAGACCATGCCAATTCTGTGCCTGTTTACTTCGAAATGAATTCCACCACACTCTGGTCAATGGGCTTTACTCTCAAGTAAAGATGCAGAGGATTACAGGCTGTTCCAGCCTATTCTGCTCCTGTCTTTGTCAGATTCCGCCACCTCCCAAGTGTTACATAAATAAAATTATTATCCTCACTCTTTCTGGTTATTAACAAAAAGAGATGGAGAGGGGCTGTAACCAGTTTAAAGAGACGTGGTGTAGTATAATGGAGAGCATGTTGGCCTACGACTTGAAACCAGGGTTCAAATCCCCACTTGGCCACAGAAACTCACTGAAGAGTAGCATGGCAATAGTAAAATCACCCCCTTAAATATCTCAAATACCTTGAAAACCCAGTTAGGGTCGCAAGCTGAAATTGACTTGAAAGTACATGATGATAATAAACAATTTAAAACTGCTCTCTCTTCTATATGGGCATATATAGAATATGTCATCAAGTATTTAGGTATGGAAGAAAAGCTCCTTTATCATGCTCAGAGGAACTTCTTTTGTTATGAATGGATCATAGAACAGAATTGTGTCAAAGATTTCAGTCTCTTCTTATCACTTTCACACACCCTCCCCGTTAAATTTTCCGACATACACAAGCTCTACCAAATAAACATTTCTCATAATATGCATACACGTGCAAGTGGTGAGGAAACTGTATTATGTGAACACTTGTTTCCACCCCTGCTGACACACTTCCTTCTGTCTTTTTCATTTTCACTTGGATGCTCCTCAGTCAAAATGACAGTGAATAAAATAACTCTAGTCTAGGTCAACACCATTGCCTCCCTTACCCCTTTTTGAAAGAGGAGCATGCCTCTGGAAAGACTACAGGGTGGCTAATATAAAGGCAGGTGGGGTAACGGTGCAGGGAGAATAAACCATTTCTTTTTAAATAGCCAAAGAAAGCATCCTTTTCTGAGTGACTCAAGCGGTCCTTGGTTTGCTCCAATGTGTCTGGGTGGTTTTATTTCGAGCAGAAGGGAGCAGGGATGCACATGAGTGGATACTTCTGTTCCATGACTGAAAGGCAACTCCTCCCTCTGGGAAACTAGTTAATAAGAAAAAAAAGGATTGTAGCTTAGATGTGTCATGGATATGCACCGTTTCCCTGTGTGGAAGCCAGTGGTGATGTTGGATCAAGGCAAATTATATGGGGCTGAATGCTCTTACTGTAGATGATATTGTGCATTATTTCACTTACTTCAAAATATGTTGCAGTATTGTTTATTTGGCTGACAGCACCTCCCTCTCCCTCAAACCTCTGCCCCAACTGCTGTCCTGGACAACACCAAGTGTTTGGCTTTCATCTTTATTGGAGGGGCGCCTCCAGCCACCCTGGCCCTCCTCCCAGTGTCTGAAGGTGCGGAGCCCCGACACGAGCTGACCACCGCCGAGGCGTTGAAGGCTTTCCACCGGGTTGCCAGGAGCTCACCCGTAGGTCAACCTGCACCGGTTGGCCTCCGATCCGCTTTCCGAAGGGGAACACGGGCGGACACGCTCCTGCCTGCCAGAGCTGCCGTTCCCTCCAGACGGTCTGATTCAGGCGGCGTCCACGCCTGCGGGATCGAAGGCGGGCTTCCCGTTTCCTGGCCAGGCAGCGCTCTTTCCTCTTCGAGCCGGTTTCTCGGAGGACAGACAGCCGAGAGGGGAGGGGAGGGGAGGTCTTCCCCTCGAATCGTAGCCCCAGCAGTCCGGGTGTGCCCCGTATTGCCGATCACCACAACTCCCACCCGAGGCGACCTTCCTTCCTTCTTGCCCTGGGAAAAGGGCTCAGCTCGTGCGCCCTCCCGCTCGCCCCGAGGGGCTCCGAAGGGCGCGCTTGCGCTTGGCTGCAAGGGGGAGGCAAGCCGGCGCCCTGGCGGGGGGGGGGACCGTAAAGATTTATTGGGGCAGAAGGTCCGAGGACGCATCGAAGGCTGCCTTGCCACGCCGTGTGTGTGTGTGTGTGGGGGGTGCAAGTACGCGCCAGTGGACACACCTACCCCCACACCGGAACAATGCAAACTGCCAGGCAATCCAGACGGGAAGCGCCCGGAGGTGGCGGGATCTCTCTCTCCCCCCCCCGGCCAAGCTTCCTCCCACGCGTGGCGGGGGGGAAACAGAGCGCTCGATCGCAACTTCCCAATCCGCACCGTCCACACCTGAGGCCGCTCCCACCCATCCCCTTCCCGTGTTGCCATCGGTCCTTTCGGGGATCAAAACGACTCCTTCCGAAGTCTGGACCGGGGTCAGCAAAAAGACTAAAAGCGCCGATCCCTCTAGGAGAGGGCCAGGGAGCAACCGCGATGCCCTCACCAATCTAAAGATTGCTGCCGCGGTCATTTAACCACAACAACAACAACGGGATGAGTGGACTGCGCTCCGGCGCCTCCCCTGAGCACCCACCTGCTCCGCTCCTAGATACTGGACAGGCCGTGCTTTTCAGCTAGCCCACACACATTTGTCACCCGTCCAAAGAAAAGCCAAGCCTCTCCAGGGACCCGAGGCGGTGCTGGCGCTTCCTTTCCACCCTCCTCCTTGATGCATATTAATGATAACGCATGCGCCGCCTGCCGTTTCTTCCCCCCCCCCTCTCGCCTCCCGCCCTCCCTCCTCTGGCCATGGGCTAGCTAGATGAAGCAGTCAGTTCCGTGGGGCTCGCAGAACAGGCGATCGGCTCTCCCTTCTTCTCTCGGGGCTTTTCTTTCGTTCCTTTATTTCCACCCCCCTTCCCTTTCTTTTCTTTCTTTTTTTTTTGCGCGTGTGTAAATTTCCTCCCCCCTCTCCTGTTGTTGTCGGGTGTCGTCTATGTGCGTGTCGCGGGGGGTGGCGGGGAAGGGGGGGCCTCTTCGCCCGGGTTATTGTGTGGCCTGGATCGCGAGGTGGCAAGTGATCTGCAAAGAAAAGAAAGCCCGCCGCCAGGGAAGAGGAGGAGGAGGGGGCAGAAAGGGACCAGAATAATCATCCTCGTTAATAATAATAATAATAATAAAAGAGAGAGAGAGGAAGAAAAGAGGGGGAGCGGGAGGCCAAGGAGAATAAAAGGAGGCTGGGCACAGCTTTGCATTGAAGATCGGGGCGCTATTGAAAAGTGGTGTTGTCTTCCACCCGTGCGTGCTTCCATCGGGGGAGTATATTAGAGCCGGACAGTGGGCTGCGAGAGCAGCAGTACCAGCAGAAGCAGAAGCAGAAGCGGCGGCAAGCTTGGAAGCCTCTCGGAGCAAGGCGGACTGTGCAGGGCAGAGGCATGCTTTTATCAAGGAGACCGCAGCTCACGGAGTTTTCCTTAAGTCTTCTTCTCGCTCTCCTATGTTTGCGAATCAAGGTACGTTGCGCGCCTCGCGGTCTTTTTATTGCCCGCTGCTGCTGCTGCTGCTATTTTTTATTATTTTTATTTTGCACCGCAGCTCCCACTCGTCACCACCACCACCTTCTCCTCCCTTCATTCACTCTTCAGGCTGCTGCTTCCTTGCAGAAGACGGAATCAAGTCGCGGAACTTTCAATTTTGCTTCTATTGTACGCTCGAGGAATCTGTCCCCAGGAGCGTGGCGCGGGGGCAAGCGGCCGTAGTGACTGCTTTGGGGGAAAAATATACCCTTTTAAGACTTTTTTTTAAAAAGTTGCTCCTAAGGCAGAATTGCTGCTGATTTAATCGCTGCAGGAACGCCCACCCCCCCGGTTTGCGAATTTATTTTTTCAATAACAAAACTCTTAAGGATGGCTGCATTTCACTTTTTCCAATAGGAGTGTTTTGCTTTTTTAAGGGCTGATTGTAAATTGGTTTCAGTAACTGATGGTTTGCAGCTGCATTAATTATGGGTGTGGGTCTGAGCTGTGCAGTTTCTCTATTCCGTTTTCTCTTAAAACGGCCGTTCTCTAACTTTATTTTCCTTCAAGACCTCAAAATGCCAATAATTCCCTCCCTTGTTGGACTCTTGGGAATAATTTCTTTATGGGGAGGGATTTGGAGATTCTTCCTTTTACTTCTTTCTCTTCTTTACCTGTTGAAGTAGGAAGTAATAGAAGTCTTCCCTTCCATAAGTTGTGTTGATTTGTTACTGACCCCCCCCTTTACAAGCCATATCCTAATACTATGTTCCCTTCTCTCTCTCTTTTGTTTTTTTTTGGGGGGGGGATGTCACATTTTTGAACAGGTTACTCTAACGTCAGGCCAATTCGAGTTTGAAATCCTGTCCATGCAAAATGTAAACGGGGAGTTGCAAAATGGGAATTGCTGTGATGGGACCCGCAACCCGACTGATAGAAAATGCACCAGAGATGAGTGTGATACTTATTTTAAAGTTTGCCTGAAGGAGTATCAGTCCCGGGTTTCCGTTGGGGGCCCGTGCAGCTTTGGATCGGGATCTACCCCAGTCATCGGCGGGAATACCTTCAACTTGAAATACAGTCGGAATAACGAAAAGAACCGGATTGTCCTCCCTTTCAGCTTTGCTTGGCCGGTGAGTGAATAAGTTAAGGCATCCTGCTCTCCTTATGCATGTGTGTCTGTCTATTTCTGTTTCCCCGGGTCTGTACACAAGAGAGCTGGCTGCCTTGGAAGGTTATTGGTGGAGTTCTTAACTTCTCTTTTCCTCCTCTATCCAGCTCCAACAAGCAAGGATTTAGTGAGAGCAGTGATTGCATTGACTTTCTGCAGGCTGGAAACTTACTGCTTAGGACACATTGAGCTCAGGCAGAGCAGCAAGGTAGTGAGATAGAAACCTGTAGTGGTTTGGGCATACCTGTGTGTGTGTGTGTGTTTTGCCTTTAAAGCAGATGTGAACCCCACTCCCTTGAGAATTGAGAGGTCACAAGTTCACGGTCCTTGGTTTTTCGTTTTTATTTTTTTTTTAAAAGTCTTTCCCCTTCCCAATTAGTTCTGATGCCCGGGCAGAAAAGAGAAAGGAGGGGGGTGAGCCCCTTGAGAGTTATTCTGGAATGGTTGCTTGGCAGGAAAGAGAATGCTTGGGGGGGGGGGGGCCTTCCCTGCCCTGCCTGATGGGATCTCGGTGCTCTCTCTCTCCCGGCTAATGAGAGCCACTGGTGCTGCTGCCAGCTTCTCAGAGAATCTTGTTAACACCCTATGGGGGCACTGGAGAGTCTCTGGGAACGCCGTCAAGAGACCAGAGGGAAAGAGGAGGCAGAGGCAGCTTTTCCTCTCCACCTTCTTAACTGCCCCCTTTTCCACATTACCAGCTCTTTCCCTGCTCTGGTGAGTGTCAGAGCTTGCTGGAAAACCAAGGAAGGGATCCAGAGAGCTATATTTTCTAGGCTAGGGTAGCAGTTCAGGGACCCTTGGCTGAAAAAACGATAGCCGGGTTTGGTCATCCGTGTGGCTGACGTTGAGTAGGTGGCACCCCGTCCAGTCTTCAAGCGGTTCGTGCCTGGGCAAGCATCTGTTTACTGCCTGGGTTCCAGGCTGTTGTTTATTTACACCAGAGAAGGGAGTGGCTGCATTGTACACTAAATCTGAAACATGCTGTCTCTCTTTGGAGGTGAATTGGGCCAGACATGTGGAATCCATCAGATACCTCTAGGAAAGGTGCTGAGCCCTTGCTGGTTCTATCAGACTGAAGGAGCATTTTCGACTACTTGGCGTTCATAGCCGAGTAGGAGGCTGTCCCTCTTTTTTTGCACGAGGGGATTTTTAAACATTCTTCATTTGTCTCCTGGACCCGATGCAACTATTGTGTCTCAAAACGCAAGACTACATGTTCTTATTGGCTCAAGTTACTGGCATCCAGACTGCAGAAGAGTCTTCAGTGGGAGGGATGCTCATGTCCCCGCCTCCCTGCTTGTCCCACCCCACCCCCAGCAATTTAAAGCAGAATCCGCAGCACCAGCCATGTACTGCCTCCTATCTGCCTCTGTTGCAAATATCCACTCCTCTTTCTTTACTCTCCCCCCCATCCCATTTTTTAAAAGGGTGAAAGCAAGTGCACCTATTCCAGGAGATAGCATTACAAAGTTCAATAGAGGATTTCACAAAAGTATTCTCTGTTCAGTACTCTCAGTCTAAGCCTTGTGGTTGGGTTTTGTTGGAAGAGAGATAAAACTGTTATCAAATATGCCATCAAAGGAATAGAAATGTTTTGTAAAGAAAAAAGAAGTGTGGTATTTGAAGTGCTGCCAAAGGCTGTCAGGCTTCTGTTAAGGCTTCAGACTCCCCACTCCCCCCCATCTCTCTTTTCTTTTGAGGCGCAGGTTCATCTGGAACAACTGGCCTGGTATATCAGCCTGTCTTGTGTGCCTTGAATCTGATAATGCCTGCATAATTCCAACTCTGATTTGTGTTTCTGTGGCAGTGAAATCTGTTACCCTGAAATTTACTTGGGTATCGCTAGAAACCTATGCGTGCTCATTTCACAGAGTAGTTCTGTTCGTGTTGATTTAGAAATGAGTTCAGTGGAGCTTACTCCCTGGTAAGCGAGTCAAAGATTACAACCTTAATTTTTGTGGTAAGATGCAGGAGTGTAGGACTAAGTATGCAGGGAAGGGGACTGCACCAGTCTCTTTTATTTTGCAGTGCCCCGTCTGCGTCTCTTGTCCCCTGCCTCACCCCTCAGCAACCCCACCCTCTCCCCAGCCTTCTGCCATTTATTTATTTATTTTGGATTTTTGTATTGCTTAACATAACAAAGTGGTGTATGCTGTATAACGCAGTTCATAAAATAATATACAAGTCCAATATAAAATATGCATTGGTGAAAATAAATGAATAACTAGAGTCAGTGTGTGTGTGTGTGTGTGTGTGTGTGTGTGTGTGTGTGTGTGTGTGTGTGTGTGTGTAAAATCAACACAGTTGGGGCTTGCTAATGAATGTGCTTGTTAGTGGGCAGGGTGTTCCATAAGGCAGGTGTTGCAGACCTACACTCCCTGTCCTTGGTGACCATGGAAAGCACAAAGGAAGCATCAGGAATTACTAAAAGCAGCCTCCCCCACAAATGATCACAGTGGGACGTACAGGATAAGGTTTGTGTCCTCTGTGTTAATTACACATGTGTTAATTCTATGGCAAGCTTCCTGATGTGTTTTAGGCTCCACTGCATGCTGATTCACTCTGAAGTTGCCTTACATTCAGTAGCTTTTTTTTTTCACCTGAAGTTTAATTCCCAACCATTGTAATAGGCTAAGTGAACAGAAGTGATACAGTAGGTGGCTTCTGGGGTTGGCACAACATATTTCCAAGGGTTCAAACAGATTCACACAAGAGTAGTATTTCAGAATGTGGATCCGTGTCATCTTTTACTGTGCTCCAGTTCTGTCTGTATGCTGCCTGCCTCCCACCTCCAAGATGACTTGGCTGAGTGCAGCTGCTTTCACAAGAAAACTGGGTGGTAGCAACACTCCTGTTGTTGCTTCCTTTTGTGTTTTGGGTGGGAGCTTCTCTTATGGAGTCTAGGCTACAATTGGCCAAATCCTGTGAGGCATATCTCACTCTATGTGTGATCTGTCTATATCCTTTTATATGTGCAATATGAACAACTCTGAACTCATCGATTAATCCATTGTCACTGAGGTTTTGGTCAAGTCTCCACTCCTACCACATTTACTTCTAGAATAATCTGATTTTTTTTCTTTTCTTTTTGAGGAGATACCACTTGGACTTGTCTCCTTGAAGCTGGAAATCCCTTTAAAAGTCCATAGAAGCTAGCTTTTCATGCATATTTGTGCCTGCTTTCCATTTGGGCAGTTGTTCATGAAGTCTCAGTCGCCATTGCTTTGCTTTCTGTAGTTTTGAAGGCAGCGTTCTGTGGTTCTGGATGAGACCCTTTTCCTGCCACCTCTTTTTTCTTTTTTTAAAAAACATTTTGTCTGGCAAGGAATGTAGAATAAAAAATAGTTTATCAAGTTAAATAAAGCTGTTACGTTTCCGAATGGGGAAGAGGTGGGATTCAGAACTAACTTTGGCATTGGAGTTATGCTCTTAAAACTTCCAATTGCCTGGCCTGGGTTTTGATGTAACTCCTATAAGGAATAGTTGTGGAGATGGAGGGTTGTAAATTTCCTTTTAAGAGATTGGAGGTTTGAATAGGTTGCTAGGAGACAGGGCAGCGAACCAGTGTGAAGAAAATAAAGGAGTCATCCAGAAGACCGCACCTGCAGCAACGGCTAAAATGATACAGAAAAATGCCATTGCATATTATTTAGAAAGCATGAAGAACACTTCATCCAATGGGTGTTCTGTACTACATCATTGTAAAATCCTGTACAGAGGCTTACTCCGTATATGGGAGTCCTTTGCTTTATCTGTACGTTCACACATATGTTGTGTTATTTAAAGGCTACTGCCACACCATGCATATAGAGGAATCTATTTGAGGTGTGTTTTGACACTCCTAAAAGCTTTCTTGTTTATGACCTGCCTAGTTTCACAGAGGTCAAGCTCCATTATGTATTAAATGATGCTTTGCATTAAAATTCTGCTTCTTGTATAGAGGTCTTTGCTAGCTAGCACAGTTTAGGTCTGAGGTGTTTCTCAGCACTAAATAGCTATTGTTTTCCCGAAAAGTTACAGTAGACAGCCTTGCAGTTTACTATTAGAGGGGTTAAATTGTGTTAGCCTGTCAGTTACCTAATGAGGTGCTAAAATACCTCAGCTGCTTCCCTGCAAATAGTTAAAATACAAGTTTTGAATTTCCTATGTTTGTTTACACCCTTGGGCTGGAAAAGCCTTAGAAGCTGCCAGCTACTTAACTAATCATACTCCTTTTCCAGAAGATTCTCCAAAGAGATTTGTTGCTAAGACTCACTTTGTTCTAAGATGTGCTGTTGAGGAAAACCCACATCTTGCTGAGTTATGCTAGGCTTGACAGCCCTTCCCAGAGCCTTTTGTCTGATCTAAAAACCCACATCTTGCTGAGTTATGCTAGGCTTTTATTTGGCGACAGCCCTTCCCAGAGCCTTTTGTCTGATCTACCAAAGGGTCTTTGACCCAAAGAAGCGGGAAAATGCTGTCAGATTATCATTGAGCCTGTGAATGGTCTCCCATTCAGACCTTTGCAAGACTGGTCGCCCAACTTAAGATAAACTTTCTGAAAGTGAAATTTGTGGCCCCAAACCTAAAATTAATGAGTGTCAGGAAAAGCTGTGTTCAGTGCAAGAGCAGAGAAAGTTGTGGGGAGGGTTGTGCAATGTGAACACACTAATGGTATTTTTAATGAGAGAGAAACTACCATGGAGCAGGTAATTGTTTGCATTAAGTGTTTGAAAAGTAATCAGCCCTCCCTGTGAAGGAGTGATTCAGCTGATTGGATGAGGCTAGTTAGTAATCCAAAGTGCTTATACTTTGTAATGTGGTGGTGGTATTTTCATACCTACTGCTGTTAGCTAGAATTGAACTGTATGGATCTGTAAGATGGTCCTCATCTTCCCCAGTCCTGGTGCAATGCAATGAAAAGCCTGAGACTGCCCAGTCCTACAAATGAGTCATGAGAAGGTGTATTCAGTGGAGATTAAT